CCTAAAGATGTGTTTAAAACAGCGTGTTTTAAAGAATAGATTGCTTACCATAAAATCGTGTTTCACACTCTCAAGGCAAGTGGTCAAACAAGGACTGTGGTATGTGTCATTTTATTCAGGTGTGGACTGTGGTATGTGTCATTTTATTCAGGTGTGGAAGTTTAGCCGCCTAATACCTTCTCTGTTGAGAAACTTCATTGAACCACTCATGACATCTAAGAAGATCATTGACAATGTATAAACTAATTGTGGGTTTGATATTTATGTAAATACCCGTTTACTATGCTTTAATTTTGCACATTCATGTGGAAGAGCCAGTTGGCGCTCTGACCAGTCTCGTCGGTTTTCTGTTGGAAGGAGTCGCAGGTCTGTTTACAAGGACCTTACAGCTAGACTGTGCCTGTGTGGCATGTCTCCACCCTAGTGCTAGTCTGCAGATGTCTTTCCCTGTCTCCATCCGGAAATGACGACATTCCGTAGTGTGCCGTCGGAGCGTGCTTAGCTCATGTGGATATGCCTGCACTGTTCAATGATGTCTAAACATTAATCATTAAAACATTTTTGATTAAAAAAAAAGAAATATACATTGTCCATAATTTTCATGTGTTACAAATATTGCTTTTAAAAAATATCCTCCACTGTTTTAAAATACAAATACAATTTTTAGTTCTTGGTCTACCCTATCTATATCCTTCCCACAAAAAATATAAATAAAAGCTTTCAGTCATAGTTTCTGAACCCTGCACAAGATAGTACAACTATAAATAGAAGTGGACCTACTGGAAAGGGGTCTTACTGTTCAAGCACATGACTCTGGAACCTCCGTGAACCCAGTACAATCTCAGCCAAGACAAAAGCTTATCACTCTGTTGGTCTGTCATATGGATCCTAAAAAATTTTGCCCCATGCTCTATACTGGTGAAATGTACCTGATTTCTCTACCAGTTCTACTTCCATACTTAGAAATCTCATTCTTCCTTGGGGAGAGGGGGAATGCTAAAATGCTAAAGGAAAAAAATCCATTAAGCTATGCTATCTCTCCCTATGTGAAATTGTGGAAATGATTTTCTCTCAACAACTCTACTCAGAAAATGGAAGTTTTAATGGGATAGATGAGAGAATAAAAGCCCCTTTTTAGATAATAGATGCTTACAGAGAAAGCCTGTATAGGCTTTGGAAGGTAGGGTGCAGTTCAGACAGAGGTCAGATCAAGGTGAGGTGCTGGACAAGAGACAGTGGGGTGAGGTAGATCAAGGTAGCGGGGACATAAGTAGGTGTGAGGTCAGACAAGCATAAGCAAAATCTATTTCATAGTTTATGTCATAATTTCCTAGTTTAACACTATGATTAAATCTGCATAAAGCAAAGACATTTGGAGAAAGGAAAGGAAAAAATGAAAAGAATCATTTCCATTTCTCTTCACATTACTGAGAAGAAAAGACTCTGCTGTTTAGGCCAAGAATGCAGAGGGGCACCTTGCTGCATCAAGATGCAGGGTTTAGGTAATATGCTCAAAATGTAAGCCAGGATTTCATAAGGTGGAGACGCTGAGGGCAGCTGTCAGTGAGGAAAAATGTTAAAAAATTATAAAATGGTGTGTGATGACTAATGATAGAGGGTCATTTTTTGTAGGGCTAATTACAGTCCTAAGGATTTTAATATTGGTATGATCTCCCAAGAGGAGCTAGCTAGCAGGCACATCACTTGCTCATAACCCCTGAAAGCAAGGTGCCTGTGTGTGTGTGTGTGTGTGTGTGTGTGTGTGTGTGTGTACGCATGCACGCAAGCATGCGTGTGAGCGCATGAATGCATGTGTGAGTGTGTGTGTATGTGTAGCATCTCTCAGGGAGTATTCTACTGAAACATATTGTAAAAAAAATAGTTGCAGTTGTAATCATCTCATGACAAAATTTGTCCTACAACAATAAAAATCATTAGATATACCAAACCTAAGAGAAACAAACCAAGTTAATAATATACAATTGTACACATTTCACAGACTTATCTTCCTGTAGCACTGACTATGGGGGATTTGCACATAAACACTCTATTAAAAGAAGCTTCAACTTATCAAAGGGATTTTATGTTTAAACAATTTATACTACTCTTAATAACTCAGGACACCTAGTAGAAACTAATAGCATATAGTGGCTAAATTATCCTTGCCTGCTAATGTTTTTGATAAAGGCAAAATAAGTCACCAGTGCCGCATTAAAACTTAGAAAGTAAATTGATTACTAAAATAATAGTAATTATAAAAAGCAGAAATGCACCATTTTTACGTGTTATAATAAGTCTCTCATTCTTTTCTTTTTCTTCTTCTTTTCTTCTCTTTCTTTTTTTTTATGACTCGTTCAATCTGCCCTGGTAGTGGGGCTGGCACAGCATGTGGTGTTGGTGTAAATCTGTCATTTCTAAAAAAGAAATGTTTAAGAAAGTTATGAAGGAAATTTTATGATTTTTTCCTAAAGTATTTATTTTTATTTGTAATAATTTTTTTCAAATTAAATGTAATTATGTAGCTAAATACATAAAACAATAAATATAAAACATAAATATCTCTAATTTTGTTAAATATCATAATCGGTTTGATATTTCTTCTTCCGGACTATTTTCTATGCTTACCAAACATATTTTTCATAAGTATTTTGCTTTAATACTATTCTTTTAAACTCTTTTTCCTGAAGTGCAATACACAGATGCCAGGCATGGAACAAATATAAATCTGAGTGAATTATCACAGCATGAACAGCCCCGTAGCCACCACTTAGGAAAAAATAACAATATTAAAAGCAATCCTCCCCCAATCACTGGCCTTCCATTCTCATTAAAGTTTGCATGATCCACCCTTCTAACATAATAGCTGCATTTACAAATATTGAAATTTATGAATAGGAAAAATATATGTTTCTTTCCCACAGTGTCTGATTTCTTCAATGTTGTTTATGAGATTTATCCATGCAGTTGTCCCTGTCTGAAATTTTTATTTGCTACTGGACAGTACACCATTACTTGAATATACTATTTAGTTACTAAACCAATATTGGTTTTAAGTGTTGGCTCTTTTACATTGATATATGCTTCATATATAACAATGGACTGGCTGGGTCACAAGGACAAAGGACCTTCACATTGGATAAGTAATGTCAAACAGATTGACCAAGCTGGTCTAGTTTCCATTTCTACTAGAGTTAATGTTGCTTTGTAGCCTGGTTAAAGCTGGGTATTATTTATTTGGTTTAACCGTTATTATACATGAGTGTCCCTTTGCTTTGTTTTAATTAGCATTTTTCTTATTTCTGAGGATAAACACTTTTCATATATCTGGTGAATATTTGGTATTTAAGACCCTTCCCCATAATTTTTCTGGTTAATCTTTTTTATTATATCTTAGTAATTTTAACATAGTTTAGTTGTTATCTCTTCTCAGTTTTATAGTCTTTTCTACTTAATGTTTTGATGAATTTGTCAGCATATGCTAGTCTTGTGATCAGATAACAAATAAACTATCAGTGGACTTCTACACAATATGTAGATGAGCTGAAGGTCACTGCATATGAATACAACTATTTTACCCACATAGGCATTCACACAAGGCTCCAGAGTGGCTAATTCTTTGCCATCTGGAATTCTCTAAGTTACCTCAGAGAAGAAAGATAGAAAATTGGAAAAATCTCACTGCAGATGTGATAACAAGCCATGTCTAGTCACCTAGTGTCACCCAGATCTAGAAATAAGCTCAAATCTAATTGTGAGAGGGACGGGATATGAAGTCTCCCAAACAACAAGGAAGAAAAGGAGAACCAGTGTGAGAGTGAACAATGCCCCCTAAGCCTGGACGTTTTCCTTACCCATAATGTACTGCACTTTTCTTGCTTCTAATGTTGGCAGTGCATCCAATTCTTGTGTTTGCCATACTTTGGTAATGTAATTCCTCAAACTAGTCACACCAGGATGCAAAGGAAAAATAATATTTCTTTGGCAAAATGAAGTAAAAACTGAAGGGTTAGGTAATGTGGGAGGTATTGATATAGTTTTGGTGAACTTTTCATTATATTTTTATATTATATAATGATCAGAGAAACAATATGTTTAGTCATATATTTCATGGTGAATGTTCACAAAACATTCAAATTACTGTTGGCAAAATTTTAAATGAGAAATTTGAAATTTTGTGAATATGTTTTTTAATATTAAATATTCTGCTTAAAGTGATAAAATCCACTTGAAATATTTTCAAGTTTTTAATGTAATAATCAATTAAATTTACTATAGTTGAAATTATACTCAAAGATCCCAACTGACATTCTTCCTGCTTTATTGATAAATTAATGTTGAAGTTGCTTAAGGAAATGGGAATAGCTTTTTAATTAATTAATTTACTTGTTTGTTTGTTTGTTCCCAGGTCTCACTACACAGCTGGGACTCATACTGGTCCTCCTGTCTCAGCCTCCCCAGCTCTGGGATTACAGGTGTGCAGCACCACACTCAGTTTCAGTGGCTGGCACAGCAATGTGGCATGTAGTACTGGGGATCTAACCAGGGTCCTTGCATTTTCCAGGCGGGTCCCTAGACCACTGAGTTATTTCTCTAGACCCAGGAACAGTTCAGTCTTGACAACTTAGCTGTGTCAGATTATTGATGAGGATCTCATTTGCAAAACACATGCACAATATTACATCAATATTCTGAAGGTAGTGTAAATACCATATGACTGGTATATCTGCCACCAAGAGACAGGCTGTATGATATACAGTATATGCAGAAAGAAATTTAAGGATCAGGCTGTTTTGCTCATCAAAAGTCCCAGGACTCCTGGATGGACCACAACTCTGACTGAAAAATTGATCGTTGGGCACCAGAAACCCACATTGCACCCAGCTGCAGCACAGACTTCTTGACTCTGATAGACATCAGGACATCTTGTACTTGATTGACTACTAAAGTCATCAAGTGATTGGCTGCTGTCTAGCAGGGGGTCAATGAGGTCATTAGTACCAGCTGTTATTCATCCTGCTTGCCACCTGGAGAGAACTGGAACCCATCACAGCTCCATTGTGAAGGGCTCCAGGAAAGGGCTGTGCTAAGGCAGAGACAACAGGTGGTAAGTTGTGTTTGGTCAAATTCCATAGTGCTGAATCCTCTGACTCATGTCATAAAATTGTGGGCACCAGTTAACTGGACCCAACTAAGAGGTCCTATGACAGTCTCTGAAATTAACATATAGGAAAATTGAAGCACATAGATATGAGATGCATATGCACAGCAATAGTGATAGTTCATTGAGGAGTAGGCATGTGAACCGTGT